GGCGGTGGTGCTGGGTTTTTTAAGGCTGATTATAATCTTATTGAAAACTGTGAAGTTCTCTGCATTACGTTAAGTTCTTTGTGGCTCCCTGAAAAAGGGCTGGGGCAGCACTCGGGCTTAGTCCTGCACGCAGTTAATTCATAGCCTCCCTTGAGTATTTATGGAATGAAACACACAGACGTTCGCACTTGTGAACATGTGGTCGGCAGCAGTGGCCTGCCTGCCTGCCTAGTGAAAGGAGCCATACGACAGCAGTGTTGAAACATAGATAGAATGCGGCAGCATAAAAAATATTTTTTGTCGAGTGCTGAAAACTCACCCTGCTGGCTTGCCAAGAGGTCTGGGAAATCCAGTGATGGAAGGTTGGGAATTTTGATTGTTAAGCAGGAACATATAATTTATACTACTTATTTCTTGCTAAGAGTGGAATCGTAAGGCTTCTTCTAACCACAAGAAAAGCCAAACCTAAAGTTCAGTTGGTGCACCCTTGAGGATGCTCTCATTTGTTCACTTTGTCTTAGAAAACTGACTCAGGCCAAGCTAAACAAAGGTAAGCTTACACCTGGGGGGTGTTTACAGCCAGTGACCTCACTGTGGTATGTAGCTTCATCTCCTGTTGCCTGAGGCCACGCATCTGCGGAAAAATGCTGAATGCGTAAGACATTTAAATGGCTCTTCTCTTACTGTGTTGATACTTTGAGCCGGGTTTGTTTTGGTTTGCTGTGGTTTTCTTTTGTTTAGACAAATTATGAACATCTATTGCAGAGGAAGATGTGATCAGTCTTATGCAAATTGTTAAAATTTTCTTCTTTTTCTAGATTTTTTTTTTCACTGCTAAAAAGAAACTGCAATGGAGAGTACAGTATCGGTCACTTTCCTTGTATTGTTTTCCATACTACTGTGTGAAAGTTATCATCATGGAGTGGGGACAGCTACTGTTGTGCATACATCAGAGAGAACTTTTCCAGAAAAGGCAGCTGGCATTAATACTGACTTGGCAGGACTAATACAGAAGTTTCACCTTCAAGAACTTTTTCATCGTTATGGAGAAAACAACTCTCTGTCGATTGAAGGGTTTAGAAAACTGCTCCAGAACATAGGTATAGATAAAATGAAAAGGATTAAAATAGACCACGATCATGACCACAATCATCACCATCATAATCATGTTTCATTGAGCAAAAACTCTGAGAAGACTGTTTGTCCAAACCATGAATCTGATGCTAACAAAGATCACAGGAACAGTCACTCAAAGGAACCTCATAAAGTAGAGAATGTAGAACATCAGCAGAACTTTGTACGCAGCAAGAACACTGTTAATGAAATAACAGCATCTATCATCACTGCTCCCACAGATGGCCATTCTGAATTGCAGAATGTGCAACCTGGAGAAGTCAAGCCGGTTGCTCGTTTAGGTCTGACCAGCTCTAATGCCCTTAATGTCACGGGTGGCAGCAATGTAAGCTGGCTTGCTAACAGCAAAGCAAATGAATCTCATACTTCTCCGAAGGAATTGGAAAGAGGAAGTTACTTGTATTCTAAACTGAAGAACCAAAATACCCAAGAGGTGAGACTGATTCTGTTGTATTTTTGGGAATCCAGATCCACCAGGAATGTTGTTATGGCTTATTTGTCAGGTGCTTACCGTTTAACTGGGTACAAGCTTTGTGGTGTAACTACTCATAGCAAAACACACAGAAATAACTTTCCTTGAAACTTGACATTTTGAAGGAATGTCATGTTATGTTCACAAGCTCAGAGGAAAATATATATGCAGTCTAGTTATTTTTCATTTTTCCTAAAAAGAAACATGCTTATATTAAGTATAAACATACACTTGGTTTTATATATTTAGTGTTTATATATTAAAATATTACTAAAAATGAAAACTACTTCAAATTTAAAACTCACTGTCTGGCCTTAAAGCCAGAATCTGTCTTGTTTTCCTAATAATGTGGTGAAAGTAAAATAATCTAGTTAAAATACTGTCATTGTTATCAAAGCTGCCTCACAGATGTTAGGTAATCCTATGGCAGATAGTGTAGAACTGCAGGGAAGTAACTGGCACCTTCCTCCTTCAACCCCCTCCCTCACTCCCTCCCTATCTATCTTTAAGAGACCAACTGTAAAAAAGATTGCTGGAAAATGTTATCTGTTACTTTAAAATAGTAAAAATCAGTGCTGATAAAGTCTACAGTTGTGTTGTAGACAGTTTTCTTACACAATCAGATCCTTCCCCATTAAAGGCTTTAAAAAGCAAGTATCTCTTTGGGCTCTTAATGTATGCAGTCACGCCAGGTAATTCAGAGTGGGTGTTGTGTAGCGTATCATCGTAGGTGCTGAATTCACAAGTTACCTTTGATAGAGCTGTTTCCATGTGGTGCCACTGCATTTCAGTTAAAATGGGATGTCCAGTCCTCTTGAGATATATCATGTATTTTGGTTCTGGTTAATCTTTAACATGTGTGTCTTTCCACAGTGCTCCAGTGCGTCAAAACTGATGCAGTCCCATGGAATAGGCACTCAAGCATTGTTGACTGCTACAGAATTTAGTTACCTCTGTCCAGCTCTTATTAATCAGATTGATGGCAAATACTGCATAGTCCATGCGACTAGTGAAAAAGCTGAAACTCCTCCAAAAAGTTACTCTCTGCAAATAGGTAGGTTGTTTTTTTAACATGGAATAAAAGCTTACTGGAAACCCATTTATATTGGTTATAAATCTGAGAAATGTATTTCAGAGTTGAAAGAAGTATGTAATTTTCTTTTGGCACTTAACCATGTCTAGAGAGAAATCTTTGTGGTGTACCATTTGTTAATATCCAATTAATTGAATGATCAGGAGTGTTTGATAACAGGAATGTTAAGCAAAGAAAATCTCATACAGGTGTTACTTATTCTTGTTGCTTTTTTCTTTCTCTTTTTTCTTTTTCCTTACCAGCTTGGATTGGTGGCTTTATATCTATCTCCGTCATCAGTTTTCTTTCCTTATTGGGTGTTATATTGGTACCACTGATGAATCGCGTATTTTTCAAATTTCTTCTAAGTTTTCTTGTGGCGTTGGCTGTGGGGACTTTGAGTGGAGATGCTTTCTTACACCTCCTTCCACATGTAAGTATTAATTACTGTTTTGTTCATTATCTCAAAGCAGAGAATTTGATACCTGTCTGTAGTTCTTAGTGATAATTTTAATCCCTATTAATTAATACCTATTTGGTGAGTCATTTCTCAACCTTGTAAGGTACATTATTTGCTGGAAAGGTTTCCTATTTGGGAAAAACTGTTTGAAGTATTCATTTCACAGTCCTTACAGTGCAAGAACTTCACACCATTATCCCTCAATCTACTTCCTGTTCTTAGTCATATATGCTGCCAAATCACTCATTGTTCCTTGCATGCAAGAATTTTGCATAAATGTTTTTAGTCACTTATTGCAATGCTGCCTCTCTATTTTCTTTTTCTAGTTTAATGAACTTTAGAGATAGCGGAGATTGCTCATTGTACACTTTAAATGTGGAATAGGTAATCCACTATTTTCTGTTATCAGCCACTTATGTTGATTGTTTATCGGTTGTAATTTTTTGATGAGAATCAAGCATTTCTGAAGTCCTGCAAAAACATTACTTGGTAGACTTTTTGGAGTTACATATTGCTGTTATGTAATATGGACAATGAAATTGGACTATGATTGCTAAATTTCTGCCTTTCTTGAAGCTCTTAAAAGACATTCCCCCTGCCCTGCCTGCCCTTCCCCCCGCCCCCCAAAGGTAACTTGTTGCAGCTTTCAGGTAAGATGGATAAAAAGGACTGTGGATCCTGTGGTGATTTCTGAGCCCTGCCTGTAATTCATCAGGTTCTTCTTTTTCCTTTCAGTTAATTTTGTATTTGCTATGTGAGTAAGGTGTCCTAGAAGATTTTTGATTCTGAATGTATCAGTAGCCAGTGAGGAGGGGAAGAATGTCAGACTTCCTTTAAAGAAGGAAATTACTGCTAAGTTCCTCATAGAAAAAGGTGTTTGATGTCTATGAACTGTCATAGATGGGAAAGATGGGAAAGTAATTGGTGTGCTGGCTGTGACTACTACTTAAAATGCAGTTTCCTTGACAATGTCAGGATTTTTTGTGGGGGCAGTTGTACATCTTGTATTGAGCAGTATGCATGTAGCTTCAGTGAGAGGGTGAATACCAGGCCTACTCTCAGTCCTTGCAATGTTTTTTCCTATTAACAGATTTCTTTGTAACTGTTTGAGTTTGCATCCAGAGCATTTACCCCATGAAAATTGTCAAGTCTGGACTCCAGACTTGAGGAAAGGAATGTGAAGAATACTTCCTATGTTTCTTATGTTACCAGGTTTTTTTACTATAATGACTATCCCCATTTGGTTCTCCCTTTAGTCTCATGGAAACCATCACCATCATCACGAAAAACCTCTGCTTGAACAAAACAAAGGCTCTATGATCAAGCATCTTGTTTTTCAAAATACAGAGGAGAGTGCTTACCTGGATTCTACATGGAAGGGACTTACAGCACTTGGAGGCTTGTATTTCATGTTTCTAGTGGAGCATTTGATCACTTTAATAAAGCAGTTTAAAGACAAGAAGAAAAAGGTAGAGAAACTTTTATTTTGAAGCTATATTGTATTGCATGGTCATTTCTGAATAGACTTATAAAAAACTTTTATGAGTATCATATATCTGTCTGGATTTAATAGTGATTGCTGACTTGATTAGTGTTATAATTTCATTTACATTAGTGACGTATACTTTTAAGCTACATGATAACTTTTTTGTGCGGTCCTGTTACGGAAGAGCTCTGAGGAGCTATTTCCTTAACTAGACATATAGTACAGGCTTGACACCATAGCAAATTGTTTAATAAGCAAACATCCAATTGCACCCTTTGTAAACAGAGTGATATAAGAAGTTACTGTTCATTATTTACTTCCTTCTGACATGTCAAGACAATTATATAACTATCTAAACTGTTTTTATTATTACTATTTTAATTCTCATACCGGATGAAATAAGATGGCCTCATATAGTTACTGTATTCATGTTGAGGGGGTCACTTGCATGAAATGGGTGAGGGTGGCAGTAAGTGCTTACATAAATAAGCATCCAACTACAGTGTAGCAAGTGACTTCAGGAGATAGCATTCCATTTGGAAACACAGTCTGCCAAGCCACTCGTTTCTTCCCTTGTCTTCCGCAAAAAGAAGAGCAATACAGTTTTCAGATTACTGTGCTGTTTTTTATGTGGACGGTAAGTAATGACTGAGTTTTGGCAGGTCATAAATGTTGGTAACTCTCCAATTATTGGTAACTGAGTTCTTTAAAGAGTATTGTAGCCAGGAATAAACAATGATGTAAAAGTTGACTCAGTAAAAAGTATACAGTAAAAGCTGGTGATATCTTAAGCTTTACTTGAAGAAAGTTAGTAAACTACTAATGACTTTGCTTAAAAATAGCTGATTTCTAGGCTACCGCAATGACTGATAATCTCTGCTTAGTTTTTATTGTTAAATTGGTTGTTAAGGCAGCAGTCTCAGAGCAGATGCTGTGTAAGCTCTTTTGACTTTGGTCACAGGAGGTTGTGTTGGTGTGGTTTATACTGATGCTAAACTAACTGTGAGCGACAGGATTGCTTTCCCTATCTCTAGTTAAATTTATTTGCCAAGAGAGGGCATGAAGAGTTTCAAGCAAAGCAAGTACTTTTTGTGTCCTTCTCTCAGTCACTGGGAATAGATTTCCTGTTATGACTAATTACGCCCTTCTAGATACTGAGTCACTGATCATAAATTGTTGTGGTACAGACATTAGTGAGCAATGTTTAGAGGTTTTACTTGGTTTTCCTTCAGTACACTAGAAAAAAAAATTATACTGATGTTACAATGGAAAAGAATTAGTGGAATAACTCCTCAATATTTGATCTGTTTCACTTCTTAAGTGAAGCCCTCTGCTTATTCCTCATGCAAAAATGTGGGGTATTTATGTGTGTGGGTTTGTCTGGTTTGTGGTTTTTTGGGTTGGTTTTTTTTTTCCCCCCTCCTATGGAGCCTGAGGAACCTTTGTCATCTTACTGTACTTAGCTGAGTTTCTGTTCCTCTTCTGCACTCTTTATATGGCTTCCATGTTGTCCTTTTTCTGTGCAGGCTGCATAAATGTTGTGAATATAATGTTGCTCATGTATATCCTGAAAAATAAGTAAAATATTCATAACTGCAGTATTTTCTTTTGGAATAAGAAAAAAAATGAAGATGATGGAGAAAGTAAGAAGTTTTCAGCGAACGAAGAAAAGTTAGATACAGACGATCGTAAGTCTCAGTAATACTGCACAGTTGTTATTTTGTGGCAGCGCTACTTAAAAAACACCTGATTGATGGCAGCTCATAGATCTGCTTCTTACTGTAGGTTGGATCACTACCTACCTGAATGCTTTTCAAAACAAAACCTGTCTGCATTGATATGTAGAGGACTAGCTCTGTTTGCTGCTTTCCTTTAAAAAGGATGGATAGGTTGGAAGTAGTGAATTCACAGTTTTGAAACCTGCCTTTTAATTCTGGAGTTAACAGCAGAAGTTGAAGTAATTCTGTGAGGCTCTTCTGGCTATGCCTGTTGCAAATACAGCTGTACCTGCTGGCTTCTACGCTTCTCTTTAGACTGCTGGATGTGATATGTGTGATCCATTATTTAGATTTCTGTATATCTTAAATCTGGATTTTGTTAGTTTGAGTATTTATTTATTTATAAGGTCAATAATCTAAGATCCTAGAAGTTACTTGAAGTATTTGGACTGCAAATGATCATGCTGTAAGCCAAAACACCTCACTAGATACTTGTTAGCTCTTGTAGTTTCTCTTTAGTTTTTCAGAATAATTTTATAACTAAAGGAGGAGTTGATGGTAAAGCAGAAAAAAAAGTGTATTTTTTCACTTAATTGCAGGGGAAGAATTTAGCAAGTTTTAGGAGTTAGTTAAAAAACTAACCTTAGCATGCCATTAATGTTTATATGAGAACGTTTCATGGTCTGTGTTTTAATACTTTATTTTTGAGCGTTTATTTTTCAGGTGTTCAAACTTAAGCTCCTGTATTTATAGGAAATACGGGAATTTCCAGAATTGTCTGTAACATAATCCTCTTCTCCATTCTTAGTCTTCAGCCCTAAGATGAATAAACGGCATATGCTTTCCAGACACTTGGTCTTTCTGAAGCAATTGAACTAACAGCCTCCGTGCTTTTTTACCTTTTAGGAGGCATTTGTGGCCATAATGTAGGGTCTGCTTCAGTAGTAGGGGACAGAAACTAAAAGTTTTTATTATTTTGACTTGTTAGGAATTATCTCCAAAATCTGATTAAATTAAAATAAGTTGTGGAAACCCTTGGGAAAAAAAAAGCTTCTGGTACAAGAAGCTAGGGTATCAGTCTCAACTTCTAGACTTACTAGTTTCTTTACCGCATCACTTACTCAACTTGTTTATTGTATCTTTGCTTCCTAGGTGATTTTAAATATGTATAACATTGTATTCTGGGTTTTTGTAACAGGGCCTGAGGGCTATCTAGGAACAGACTCTCAAGATCCATCACCCTTCATTTCTCAGCAGCCAACTGTACAAGAAGAAGAAGAAGTGATGATAGCTCATTCTCATCAAGAGGAGGTTGACAGTGAATATGTGTCCAGGGGCTGTAGAAACAAATGTCATTCTCACTTGCACGATACTCTAGGACAGACAGATCATCTTAGTCATCATCACCATGACTACCATCATATTCTGCATCACCACCATCATCAGAACCATCATCCCCACAGTCACAGTCAGCGCTACTCACGTGAAGAACTGAAGGATGCGGGGATAGCAACTCTGGCATGGATGGTGATTATGGGAGATGGACTACACAATTTTAGTGATGGCCTAGCAATTGGTAAGTGTTAGCAGCTTTGTTGTATGTGAGGACAGCGAAGTCTTGCTGTTGCTTACCTCTTCATTAGGAACATAACTAATTAGTGGTCCATATCTTTGAAGCCTAAACTTTTATCTGATAGCAGCTCTGAATGAGTAAGAAAAATCTCCAGTTTAACAACCTGAAGATCAGTGACAAATGAAACAGAAATTATGTGCTTACAGCTATGCTTTAGGAAATCTATAAACTTTGCTTTATATCCTACTTTTAACAAAGTTAACACTTCTCAAAACTAAAGCTGTGCTTATAAAATGATACTTAGGACTCAGAGCTGACTTTGTATTTCAATGCCTGGAAGTGCTCAGCAATTTTTTTTTTTTATTTTTTTTTTTTAAGACTTTATCTTTTTTGGTCACATACAAAGTAACTGTGTTTTTTCCACTTCAGTCAGGCCATTGGCAGCTTTATTTCTTTTTCTCTTCCATCTTCACTTGTTACACAGCAAGGTCAGGTTCTATATTTTGCATGTCTGGCTTTGCCAATGCAGGGCACTGGTTACACATCATGTGTTAAGTTTCCCCAGAGCACTGGTGAGTAGGGAGACGGGACCCTGGTTTCAGTCTGCTTTAGCCTGAAGATTACCCAAATGGATTAGGCAATACATATGTGTAATTTTTGTGCTGTGGGAGGTAGGCATGCATTCGTTTTTACTGTAAAATGAATTTGGTCCAAGGCAGTGTTCTCTAAGGTGCTTTTACACTGTTGCATAGCAGTCCTGTCACATCCAGATTCTCAGATCTTACCGTCCACTAAAGAGCAGCATTGCAGTTCTTCCTAGTGCTTGTACTAACCTTCCAGAGAAGGTCTGTGCTGCTTTTTGTATCCTAGGAATGTGAGTAGGGCATTAATTAACAGGACACTAGTTAGCTATTACCTGTCAGAAATATGATTCCTGGAGAAGATGCCAATAAAGTCACTATATGTTGCCTTTATGCAGATTTTTGGATTAAGAGTGTCTATATCAATTAAGGGAGTGTAGCATAAGTAGATTCTTTCAGATGCTCCGTGTGCTGTACTCGGTCTCAAAACAAGCTCAGTCTCTCTTCTTGGAAAAGTATTTAAAAAAAAAAAAAATTTTCTTAAACATCAGTCATACTCTATTCAAAATCTTGTTCTTAAAGTTGAGCATAATAGTCCATTTTTTTGTTTGTTTGGTCGGTTTTTTTAATTTAAACTGGTATAAACAGTTATTTTCATATGTAAACAGAACACTTACCTTTCTGTTCCTTTTTTGTTCATGTCCCTATTTTTCCCTTACACATTGTAGTTCAGTCTTTTTTTGGCAATGCTTCAGTGAAAAGATTTCTCTGTCACAAAAATAACAGACTGAATATTGTGTTTTGGACTTCTGGCTGGGAGGTCAGATTTGGGAACTCCCTCGTTTTTTCTAGAAGGAGAGCTAGACTACAGGTATTTTAAATTTAAAAGGTTAAAGTTATAGAAAGTGAAGTCAAATCAGTAATCTTCAGTTCTTATGCTAGTCTTCTGTAATCTTGACTGTAGTATTTAAGACTAATCTTTAGTCTTAAATCCAGGTACTGGATTCATTTCCAGCTTGTATAGCATACTGGGGTCAGTTCTGCAGTATCAGTAGTTCTGTAAATTTTGCTGTAGAAACAAGTTCATTCTTGTTTGAGGAGAAAACCCAATAATAACTATTTTCTCACAGCAGTATTTGCAGTTGTTCAGATTGTCGATTCAAAGTATAATGTGAAAAGAGACCTTCTGATTTAATCTCATTTTTGATGAAAGTTGAAGCATGGAATGTGAATTTCTGAACAGATCAGTAGTGAAAATGTGGTAGAAACAGGAGGATTTGCATACAAATGACACGCAGAATCAATTACCTCTTAACATCAGGGAGATTTGGGAAGGAGCGATGACTTTATAGTTATGAAGGGAAAAGTATGAGGAAGGTTAATAAAGGCTTATTGAACAAGTGAGAGCAATGGCTTTTAGAAGTCCTGCTGTGTAGCTTGTTCAGGTTAATGGAAATGTGGATTTCCTTCAGTTCTGGATGTGCTCAAAAGTATTATGGAAAAACATCGATTTGATGATGGTGTAAAAATGCCAATACTACTTGTGTATATTTTACCTGTACTTAAATGAAGACATGAATGCTTCCATGAAGATAGGTTTAGCCAGAGTAACCCTTCACTTAAGTTCATTCATCTCATGTGATTTGTTATTCATAGCTTCCATCAGTTACTTTTTTACTCAAATCTGTTGGGCTAATTATGTAGGGATAAGATTTAAAAGTGCTTATTTTTCCATTAAAGCATGGAACAGTTGCATCTGACTCATTTGTACAAAATGATCTTCTGTGATTTGAACTTTTCTGTGTAGCTTCAACTAAATAACTAAAATCCAGAACACTATTTTTACACTGATCTTGCATATATATTTTCTTCTTTAGCTTTTTCTTGAGAGAAGTGATGTCTTAAAAGTATATTTTAAGATACCATGGCACTACTAAATCGACTTCTTGAGAGGGGATAATACCAGATGTGTTAATGTAGTTTTCAATTTGTTTATGTTTCAAGACATCTTTTTAGCAGTGAAAAATAAAAATAGATATTCCTGTTATTTAAGCTTGTACTTTGGTGGTTATGTAGCTGTACTGTATACAGCCATATCAACCACCTAGGTACTTTGCAAAGCGGTCAGGTTTTGTTTGGCTTGCCTGTGTGGTCCCAAAATTAGATTTACCGGGTGTGATTAAGCTGGATTCTGGTATTTTTAGTTTTCCTCTAGTAAGTGATAAGACTGGGAAAACATTGTATAGAGACGGTAATATAGAGGAACTTGTAGATTATTGAGGATGCAGGCATGGGAGAAGGTAATTACCTTCTGCCTCCCTCTACTTATCTGGTCTCCTCAGAAACTGAAGCCTGATTGAATGCTGATGAATCCTGCTGTCTTAGTAGGAGGTAACTGTAGCTATCCTGTCTGTCTCAAAATCTGACTCCAAAACTATAAAGCAGCATTTGGAGGTGGGGAAAACAGGCTGGTACCTAGAAAAGGTTGATAGTGTTCACTAATAACCTGTTTTGCTAGTCGAGTAGCAGTAACTCCTGTCACTTACCTGTAAATTACTGTGTAGACTCCTATGACTGAATGATTCAGAGTGTGGTGGAAAACATTCCTGCTCGGGGCTCAAGTCAGAATAGCTTTCGTCTTGCACGCTGTGCATCTGTGGATTGGACTTCACAACTACAGTCATAGAAATGGGTGACCTCTAGAGGTCATCTAGTCGAACTCTCTGCTTGAAACAGCTCTTGGGAAAACTAGATTGGGTCAGTCATGGCTTTGCACAGCCAAACCATGAAAACTTCCACAGATGGGGAGATTCCACCACATCTGTGGCTGACCTCTTCTAGTGTTGCACTGCTCTCTCTTAGTAAGGAAAGCTTTATGTCCAGCCCAAAGCTCCCAAATGGTGATTTGCAGCCTCTCCCCCTGTTGTGTCATCTGTCACTACTTTGAAGAGTTAGGTTCCTTTGTGACTGTGCTAAAGGTACTTATAAGCTGCTGTTAGACCACCCCTTAGTCTGGTGGAGGGGGAGGTTAAATATACCTAGCCTCCTCAAGCTTTTAGGCCTTACACTGTAGACCTCTGATCATCTTGTCAGCCTCTGTTGGATGGTATTCATAACCACCTTGAACAGGGACACCCCAAAGTGGACAGAGAATCCCAGTAACAGCCTCACCAGTGCTTAGAGGGGGATAAGAACTTAGTCTTCTGGCCTTGCTTCCCCTAAGACTACACAGTTTGTGGCTCACTGTACTTATAATGAGAGCACCCTGTTGGCTTATATTTAACTTGTTCATCATAATCCTCACATCCTTTTCAGGAAGGCTGCTATTTCAGCCAGTCATTTCCTACCTTGTACTAATGCATGAGGTTGTTCTGCCCCACATGCAGAACTTCTCACTTTTCCTCTCTGAACTTTGTAAGATTTCTGTTGGCCTAGTCTTCAAGTTTACCATGCGCTTTCTTGCCTAAAGCTCTAGGGCTTGATGTGTCAATTCAGCCCTTACCCTGCCCCTCAACTTAGTGTAACTTGCAAATATGCTGATGGTACAGTCTGTTTCATCCAGATCATTAGCGAAGCTATTGAAGAAAATGGGTCACAGTATTTGTCCTGGTGAACTCTCTTGTTACTAGCCAGCCATCAAGCCCTGTTAGCCCAGCAATCCAGCCAAAGTGCAGTCATCTAACTTTCAAGCCCATATTTCCTCCAGTCCCAGGTGAGAATGCTGTAGGAGATAGTGTCAGAAATCCTACTAAAGTCAAGTTCTGTCATATTCACTGCTGTCACCATCTTTATAGTGAGTTATTTCCTCAAGCTGGGTCAAGCATTTGGAGAGGGATTTGAAGAGGATAGTCAGCGTGATCTTTCCAGGAACTAGGTGAGGCTGACTGTTCCCTGAGCCCTGTTCTTTGCCTTTCTTAAAGATGGGAGTAATGTTATCCTTTTCCTGGAGTTCCACTGGGGCCTTCTATAGCCACGGTTTTCCACAGATGATAGACTGCAGCCTTGCAGTCACACGAGTCAACTGTGTCGGCACCTTTGGGTGAGTCCCATCCCAAGATGCATCTCAGTGTTTCCATTTTTTCCTAAGTATCTCTAAAGTGTTGCTTCTCTGCTGTCCCTTACTTTCTGGAATGGTGCGGGCTTTGTCTATGAAGACTGAGATGAAGGTGGTGCTGGTGTGCTTCAGCCTCTTTTTATGTATACTGCTTGGTTCCCTTTCCCATCCATCAACAGACCCAAATTTTTCCTCAACTTTGTTTCTCAACTAGCATTCCTGTAGAACTGTTTCTTGTTATCCTTGGTGTCTTGTTAGCTCCAGCTGGGCTTTGGTCTTCCTCCTTCCTGCTTGTATCTTCCTTGTTGCCAATCTTTGTTTCTATTTCTTGTGTGCTTCCTTTTTGAGTCTTAATATATTAAGACATGCTCTGCTTAGCTGGATGCGTCTTCTGTTGGAAGTCCCAGTGTTCCTGCACAAATAGAGTAGTTCATCTGTGCACTCTGTTAAGCGTGCTTTACAAATCAGCCGTGTCTTCTGGGCACTTTTTCCCCCCTTTGATTCCCAGGGTATTCTACCCTGTAGTTCCTTAAATAAGTCAAAGTCTACTTCATTAAAATCTAGAGTCCTAATTTTGCTTCTTCCTTTCCCAGCCTCCTTCTGTATCCTGAACTCAGTTACCTCATGATCACTGGAGCTCAAGATGCCATTTTTTGCTGTATTTGCCATAAGTTCTTCCTTGTTTGTGAGCAGCAGGTCAAGCAGAACTCTAATCCTGGCTGGCTCTTCTATCGTTTGTATTGGGAAAACCAAACACAATTAAGGAACATCCTGGATTGTGTGTCCAGTGCTGTTACCTTTACAGCTGCAAATTCTCATGTGAGTGGGTGATGTCTTGTGTGGTTGTTCATAGGTAGCCTTATCCACCACCTTTTCTTGATTAGGTGGTTTGTAACCATATTCCTAGTGTTACTGCGATCTTGACCAAGAGGCTCAATAGGCACAAGGAACTGCATTTATACGTAGTTTTATACTGGAGCTCTGTGCAGTCAAGGAACAACTTTAGGTAGATAGGCAAAAAAAAAAAAGGTGACATATTCTGTCCTTTCTAGGCAGTCTGTTTTTATCCATGACAGGCCAAATGAGCTTTGGTGTCTCCACAGCATCATCAAGGCAGGCTCTGGGCAAGCAGTGGACTTCCCTGGGCAGTAGCTCTGGCAGGTCTGCCTCTGCCCTCTATCCTGCATGGGAGGGAATCTCCTATCACTAAAAATCTTTCCTTTCTTTTTGTATTGCTGGCCCTAATCTGATGTGCTGAATTAATATTCTGGGCTAGGCAGAACTAATTTATCCTCTCTCTGCTACCAGGGTCATGACCATGTTCTTTAGATTAGCAGCTGCGGGTGAGGACGGAGGGTTCTTCCGGTTGCCAGGATTCACTATTTTCAAATTTTGCCCATCTTCCTGCCCATTGTTCATGTTTCCTGTTCCAGTGCTGCTTTGGTCCTGCCTTCCTCTTTAGTCTGAAGGGGCATGGGCTCTTGCCTTTGTAGAACCTCTTCTGAACACCCTCTCAATCCCCTGTTCGTTATCCCTCATCCAAAGATGCCTGCTCACTACTTCTTGCATTTCCTTCACTGAGTGCCGCGGCATGCATCCCAGAGGTACAGCTGCTGCTGTTGTCACTGTGGGGAGGAGCATCAGTCATTTCTTGCAGATGAAGACCTGGACAGCAGCATCTGCCCTCAGGAGTTACATCTCGGTAGAGGCTGCTGGAGTACTGGGGGTGGCAACCCCAGCGGAGAATGAGGATTGTCTCCTGTGGTCTCATCGCCATTGTAGCTCCACTTCTGTGAGCAGTACTCCTGGGTCCCTTGCGTGCCAACTACTGTGACATGGCCTCGTGCCTCTCTGACTGCTTATTGGCAGCACCTTGTTTGCTGACATGCTCCTGGTAGCAGCTGAAGAGGAAGCTGGACATGGTTCTGCTGCACCCCTCAGTGAGGCTCTCCATGCAGCTGGGGATCTCCTGTGCTGGGTGCGAGCTGTGGTTCAGCTCTTCAGCCCTGCTGGGTGCTGCCTCCTCCTTCACTGCTGTCAAATAAGAAGAATAGTAAGCAACAGAAGGAGTGGAGGAAACAAGAAAGATGAGGACTGTTAGACTACTTTAAGGGGTTTTTGTGGTTTTTTTTTTTTTCCCTCCACTTGAAGTATAATAGTGCACTTATGTGCAAGCTGCCTAGAATTCACAATCTTTCACTGCTGATTTCGCATGACTATATAGTCTCTCTTACTGTTGAACTGCCTTCCCTTTTTCCAGTGCCTGACTCTCAGAGGCAATCAAGCTGCCTTCTTCCCTTCTTATCTTTTTTTTTTTTTTTTAAAAAAGTGTCTTTTCTGACAGTATTTCCATTTATTGCATTTTTGGGGGAGGGTTGTATTGTTGAAAGGTATTGGGCTTAGTTCAGAAATAAGGTAGTGAAATTTTGTTTGCTTTAACTAATTGGAGGATTCTGTGTAGCTTCTGATTTTGAAACTTACGAATCATAAACACAAACTGTTCAGTTAAAGTTTAAATGCTTCCACAAGCATAAGAAAAAATTTGAGTGAAATTAGTATGTCCTAATCTGATACAAGCATATGCAACAATGCTTCTGCAATTGATGTCTGAATACGCTGTAATGTTTTGTTTTGTTTTTTTTCCTGTCTCTTCATAGGAGCAGCCTTTACTGAAGGGTTATCTAGCGGTTTAAGCACTTCTGTGGCTGTATTTTGCCATGAATTACCTCATGAGCTAGGTAAGACCCCAGTATTTCCATATGCTGCAGGTATAGGTACTTAGAAGTGCACTTCGGAGAATTAGAAGTGGTTTTATTCTGTGACACAGTAAAATTTGATCAGAAGACTTGATCTGTGTCAATCTGTGTCAGATTGTCTACTCTAGAATACTTTTATTAAAAGACTGTTTTATTTCTTAATTGAATAAATCTTCCTTTTAAAAAAATCTAACTATTTCAGCTAATTTGTTTAAAACTCAGTGTCTCTTGCAGTTACTTACAACTTGTTCTGTATAGTTCAGTTGTAGTTTTTATTCTCCTTAGCAACATAAATTGTGAATTGCAGGAGAATGTATGTCAGAATTTGCTTTTCGCACATCTCTGTTTAATTTTATTCTTGTGTTTGTGCTGCTAAAAGGGAAGGTCGCAATTAGTCAAACTCCTTTCTGCATAACATTTGCTGCTTTTTCCTTAAGTCTTGCAAAGAACTGCTGTAGCTCTAAATTAAACCTGCAATTACGTAGGAATCTTTCCTAGAAAGTGTTTGTCTTTCAAGCGCAAGTGATTTAAATTAATGACTAATTTCTCATGGGAATGCATGTGTCTTACGTTGTAATTTTAGTATTTGGCCCTTTGGCCAATAAAGCTTCTGATAACAGGATGTAGCTGCTTAGTTTAACTCGGAACAAAGCTGATCTTTCCAATTGTTGAATCATTTCAAATGTGCAGTTGGTATTTCTTCCTTGGCTGTCATGGCCATACTCATACCTGGTGTATAGAATGCAGAAAGAACAGTTTGCTTGCACTTTTTTAAGGTTTAATTCCCTAGAAAGTAGAATGTTCAATTTCATTTAATGGAGCTTGTAAACCAGTTTGTGTATACATCGCACTATTTATTAAACAGTTTGATATATTTGTCTGTACAATAATGTTACACAGAAATACATTACTCTGTAGAAAATATACTTGGTTTTATGACATGGGAAGAATTGAGTCTTGTTCATCTTAATATAAATTCCACAGGAATTGTGGAGCTTGTATTAATTACATGTACTAAGTGTTGTTAGTACAAATATACAAAATAAATTCATGTTACAAATCTGATAATTTTAGATTCAAATGTTGTGTTGGTTTTGGAAGCAAGACAAATCTTAATATTTAAATCATACTTCTTTAATCGGCACAGAAAACTTGATAGAAATACCTTCTTTAACAGAGGACATGAAGTGGCATAGGAATACTGAAACAAATGAGACTAGCTGAAGGTAGCTGCGGATAAAATTCGATCATTCTGTTAATGCTAAACAATGTTTATAACATACCAGTTCGTCTTAATTGCAGTATCTTGTGGGAAAAGCTGTTGTAACAAATTACTCAACTCAGCTTTGAAGATTGCTTTTGTTTACTTTAACTGGAGATAACTTCCATTTTTATGTAGAATCCATTTTATTTCCAAATAATAAACTTATATTATTTTACTCTGGTTTAGATCTAATTTATCTAAACAAAAAATTTCTATTCTGAATTACGGAAAACCTGTTTATGGCTGGTAATCTATCATTCCTTCAAGTAAAAATAAGATGTTAAGGATCATTTACGGAAATTAATAAAGAAATTATTTCTAAATTTATGAAACAGCTAGACTTAAAGTACAAAGAGCAGCTCAGGATAATAAATGGAATCATCACCATTGCTTTATGCAATTAAGTGAGAATATTTTATTTTGGAAGCTTCTTTAGAACACTCGTGCGTATCAGGTACTGCAGTATTTTATAGTGTTGGTTTAAATGCAAACACACTAAAAGCTGCTGCTTCCAAAAATCCTAAGATTTTAAGGTTATAAACTTACAGTGTTTGGTGCTGTGCTGTTCTTCATGTGCCCTTTTTAACTTTCTGTCCCCCAGTGGTTTCTGATTTTTTGAAGGAAAAAAATAAGGCAGACGACAGCATAAAAATAGCTTAGTAATCCTGTAAGTAAGAGGAGAACTCATGAATACTGCAATAGTTACCTGAGGATGAAACTTTTGTTTTGTTTTTTCCCTGTGGTAGGAGATTTTGCTGTACTTCTAAAAGCTGGTATGACTGTCAAGCAAGCTGTGCTTTATAATGCTCTGTCAGCTATGCTGGCCTATCTCGGAATGGCGACTGGGATTCTTATCGGTCATTATGCAGACAATGTTTCAATGTGGATATTTGCACTTACTGCTGGCTTGTTCATGTATGTGGCTCTTGTGGATATGGTAAGTGGCTAGACCTACTTGAATTTTATATAGCATAGCTTAAGAATTAAAGCTAACTATATCTTGAGCTCAAAAAATTCTTCCATCTTTTCTCCCTCAATTAACTTTTTCTGCGCTTGAAGGTGCCGATGAGTAGGCAGTGTAAGTGCTCAGTTAAATGATCAGGTGGAAGATTGCTTTTATTTAGATTACTGTAGGAACAGAGATTGTTTCTCCCTTAGTTGTTAAACAGAGGCAGTTAACAGCAGAAGTTGAGTAAAAAATTTGCTTCTGACAGTGGCTAGCATAGCAGATAGCCGGTAAGACTGCAAGTTGCACACTATTGGCAGCACCAAATGTGCTTCGGCTTTTGTATTAAATCATTACCGCTTCTTGGGATGAAGAAGAATTGTATTAAAACCTATACTGTACCTCAGAAGTATGTTTGTACGGAAGTACAAAGTATTTGGTGGATGTTCGTGAAAGCTTAACTGTCTCCTTAAGAATAAAATTCTTGGTGTGGCTTGATTAAATCAGTTGGTAAATAATCATATCCTGAGTAAATGGCTGGCTTAAGACATCAGCATAATTACCATGAAAACAGTAATTAGAACAGTACAGATTTGCTCTGTCTCTCAATATGAAAGTAGACTCTGATAATGTTGCTCATAATGAGTGACACCTAATTCAAGGAGAGTAGCATTAATGCAGTCAACAGGAAAGACCAGAGGAGTAAGACTGTGCTACCTCATGGTTGAAGAACTGGGTTTGAAGTAACTGTTTATTTTGAAGGCATTTAACAGTTTGTTGTTTGTTTAGGTGCCTGAAATGCTCCACAATGATGCCAGTGATCATGGATGTAGCCGCTGGGGATACTTCCTGTTGCAGAACGCTGGGATTCTGTTGGGTTTTGGGATAATGCTGCTTATCTCCGTATTTGAACATAAGATTGTATTCAGCATAAACCTGTAATCCTGGTTGCCAGGAAGAGAGCTTGGTGTTAAATTATAACTGGTACTTTTTTTCTAGTACATTTCCTAATGGAGAGGTACGTTTGATATAGAGTAGATATTTTTATTGGTGTGCTTTGTTGTGTCCCTCCCTCCCTTCTCCCCCGATAGAAATGAACACTGTAAGGATTTTTTTTTTCCACTTAGGATTTAGCATTGCATATGGTACTGTGGAAAATTGTAATTCCTAAAACATGGTGAAAGTGCCAAATCTATTAAAGGAGTATTGTCTGGGGGGGTTAGGGTTTTGGTTTTTTTAGTAAATTTATTTACTGTGTGTAATTATATATAACTTTTTTTTTACTTCAGTGCTTTTGTTGGCTTAAAGAAATAAAATGACAGTGGTTTTTATTTTAGCACAATCGAATCAGTGGATACAAAGCACAGTGAGCAGTGTAAAACAAACAAGACGTGTAATGGGTAGCATGTGTTTACATTGGTAGAAACTAATCTCTTCTGCATCCACCTAGTTTACACAGAGTGGCAGATGAGTCCGCTCCATCCTTTGTGCTGTGGTTCTTCTCTCAGTAGCTTGTGGATTCTGTGTGTCTTATTCCGGTTGGTTTCTACTCCAAACAAATTCTTGTGAAGTCCTGTTTTAAGTGTTTGCACCAAATGTTTTACCTGTTTTTCATCCCTTCTGATGTGAGTTGCTCTTTACCGATCTCTCAAATCAGCAACAAAAGTACAGCTATCAGATTGTAAAAGCATAGCTCTAGCTCTAATATACGTGAATTCCATCAAGACGACTTTTAAAGCGGTGCTATATCCCACTTAACGCTGTCTGAAATGGCAAAGGTGTATTGAAGTCTGATACCAAGGGCAGGAGTGCTACAGGCTGAGACAAAATAGTCATTTAGTGCAACAGCTTCCTTAAGTAAAGTGTTGATTTACTTTGAGAAATGAGCTGAGGGGCAGAGCTGACTACTTCTAGTTCAGTGTGACTGCACGCAAACCTGTGCTTGCAAAACAGTAATATTCTTTGCAACAACTAAAGCTGAGAAATCCAAAATAGCAAAATTCCTTTGACAGCATATATAGGGAAGCAGCATGTTAAGGGTAATTATAAGTGTATACATAAAGTATATAGTTTGAGCTTACAGTCTTAATATTTCAGCCACCCTGAAAGTAACTAAAAGAAGGAGAAGGATGACAAACGCAATGGCAAAGTAAATAAATTCTGCATTTGCAGGGAAGGTGAACATTAAACCACTCATATAAGTAACAGAATTATGCTATCTTACCTTGCTAGCTTTAAAAATCCCAGAAATATAACAGAACTTATTTCTGATTCAACTTTACCACTGCTTCAAATCATCAGCTGAATAAAAAGCTTGAACAAAGAGGAAGTGTTTGATAATACCATGTCTGACAGGTTAAAACAGTCTGGCATATGTCAGTCTGTAATACCACAAAAGCCAAAACTACTCTATCACCTCAGAAACAGACGTTTGGAATGAACTGAGAGGTTTTAGGGGTTTTTTTACTAGTTAAGAAATGGGGACTGCAGGAGTTTCTGCAGCCAGTGGAATATTAGCTTTTCCACCTTCTTCAGTCTTTCCTCAGGTTGACAAGATTGAGGTTGAACCTTCTGCCCACAGTGGTGAAATTTGGTTCCTTCCCTCCTTTGAAGTCAGGGGGTGGAGAAAGGTGTACGTCCTTCAGTTCTGCTCATGCACCCTGAGGGGAGCACTAAGCTGTGGTGGGGTCTTACCAGCTCCCCCAGATCTGCACGTGTATGAACCTGTGCATCTCTGCTTGGTGAGCAGTTGTTCGGAGAGAAGAACAGACTTCTCTTTTGGAAACATTCATTCCCCCCCTCCCCCCCAACTTAACTTTCCATCACTAGAAGCTATGCTGGTGCTGGGCTTTCATCTCTAACAAGAACACTGACAAAATATAGGTGCATTCCCTCCCTTCATCAAGCACTTTACATTTTGCGTGTCTTTTATTCTACACTATTGCCTTTTGATTAAGTCTCTGGACTTTTGTTAAAAGCGCACCTCTGAACAGAGGAGTCGTACCACGGTACAGTAGCGGTCTGCTACATTCTTATAATGTCTCCTTGATCACCCATCCTGTGCTCTTTTTAATCCTATAGCAGTCATATTCTAGTGTTCCCGAGCTTGAGTATTAGTAGTAGTATCTGTGAGTATGATGAAAAATGGATATGTATCTACCCATTGCTTCTGTATCTTCCATGCTATTAAACTGTTAGCTTATTTGAACTCTCTGAAAAGAAAGTAACTTCTGTTTTTTTTCAGTCTAAACCCTTATATTTCTGCCCTTACCTGTGCTATGTTCATTTCTTGACTTTGTTGTAGCTAAACTCTGCCTGAAACCTACCTGCCAATCTTCATCTTCAGCCCTGTTCTGCTGAAATGCAGTGTCTGAGGTGCAACCTCGCTGCATCCTACTGGGTTTTGTAGGGCTTGGGTGCTGTGTTTACCAGGGGTCTGGTAAGCCACCATAAATTCAGTGTGCTTTAGCCCATGGGTCTTTCGCCTTCTGTGCTGTGCCCTTGGCCATTACAGAAGTCGGGCATGCTCCAGCTCGTTAGTCATGAGGGATTTCAGGCTTGGATGAGCTCAGTTCACTTTTGAATTTTTTTACTAATGGTTTCTGTTAGCCTACAACCTTAATAGCTGCTAGTTAGCTGGACTTCTCATGTCTATGTGCTGGATATGACATAGGAAGCAGGCACATAGCCTAGTGTTGCCCAAGAGATGTTAAGATCAATGACTAAATGATGGAGATAAATCTACAAATTTCAGTGTTTCCAGTGGGTTCTTGGCTGGCTTTCGATGTAATCAGCTGACATTAAAATATCTGCATATCAAAACACATTGCTAACGTAACAACATGACAAATAACTTGCCTTTAGAGCATGTGAGCAGAAACGGCTCGATAAGCTACACACAAGCATATCGCACCCGTTCACTGCTCTTTAATCTTTGATGGAGACATGTCCATGACAGACAGCTGTCCAAACTAGTAACTGAGAAGACTGAAACCTGCTGTAGGCTTGTACAGCAAGATGACAAAAGTTTGGGTTGGGGTTTGGTTTTTTTTTTTTTTTTGTTAGCCTTATAAAGTAGACTCTGTGTTTGTTGCAACATACTGTATTGAAAATGCTCATGGTTTGGCAAACTGATGGGGCAGAGCCTCTAAGCAGCTGTTTATTTTTATGCATAAATTTTTCTGCAGCTGTTTGTAATGTGCCTGGCTATTCCATCTGACAATTGGAAGTGTTTCTGGTTTGTGTATCCGTCTGTACCTTAATTACGGTACAGACCTTAATTTTATATGCTGTTACAGCTGCCTTATTTAGTGCCTGTGCTAGATGTGGGTAAACAGAAGAGACAAACAATGCTGGAATCAAAGTTACTCTTTTTGTAACACGTTCTTCTAATGGTTTTGGCCTGTATTTGTACAGAAAAGGTGCCGTGTGTAGCTGTATGTGCAGCGAGAGTCAATACAAAGGTGTGGAAGTTCTCACCTGCCTGGCCTGTGGGGTTCGGGTGCCGGTGCTGTTTCTCTGCTCTTTTGTGGCCAGGGCGCTCCGAGTGATGCTGCAGCTCAATTATGTTTACGTAAAACACGTTCAAGGCGAAAAATGGAATTCACAGGGGCTCTCCTGCTGCCTGAAGCGAGAGACCAGCGTAATTAAAATTTCTGTGGAAAAACCGGGTCGTTCTGTTTGCCCCACAAGCAAGAAACAAAACGATGTTTTCATGGAATGTGTGTTAATTTAAAATTATTTTTTTGGTACGTATACGATCGCTATAGCTGTTACTGTATTGCTGTGTGCTGGAGAAAATAAACCACTGAACCAAACGCTGGGCTTTTTGAGCGTTTTCCTCACTGATGTTAGTTATGGCCAGTTAGATCTTTACCTTCTCAGGGGAAAAAAAAAAAGAAAAAATGTAAAATTATGTTTTCTTACAGGTAGTAAAAACGGCTGCCTTGTACTAGAGTTGCTTCCCCACGTAGGCGGGTGAGGGGTGAGGAGAGGATTTTGGGGTAGA